AATCCTGATCAGACTGGATTCATACAGAATCGTCTGTCATCTTTTAACATCTGAAGACTTTTGAATGTGATTCAATACACAAATCAACATGGTGGCAAGGCTCTCACTGTGTCCCTAGACGCTGAAAAAGCTTTTGATAGGGTGAAGTGGTGCTATTTGTTTGATGTCTTGAGGAGATGTGGTCTGGGGGTGTAACTTCCTTAGGTGGATACAAACCATTTATAACTCACCAATGGCTAGCATTATCACAAACGGCCTGGCATCAGACAAGGCTGCCCCCTTAGCCCACTACTGTTCGCAATAGCTTTGGAACCCTTTGCCGTAGCCATTAGGCTTAATGCAGACATAAAGGGTGTTTCAGTTGGGGGTGCTATATATAAAATAGCTCTCTATGCTGACAATATTCTGGCCAAATCTCCCTTTGTCCTTTATGGGCCGGATCAGTTTGATCAAAATGAATGTGCTCCCCAGGATTCTCTATCTACAAATGCCAACCAATGCTGGTGGTCTTGGCCTGCCCATTATACTTTTTTATAACTGGACCTGCCATGCTCGGATAGTTTGGGCTCAACCAAACTACTATACGAGGACTATATTGCAATTTACTGCAAAAGGCAAAATGTCGCGAAAGAGGTCAAAGCTAACCTGATAGTTTACAATTCTGTGAGGGTCTGGAGGGATAGTTAGTTTCTCTGGGAGGAAGGATTTGGTCTCTATGCTGACGCCTATTTGTGGGAATGCTGACTTTACCCCCAGCTAATAGCAGCTCAATTTTTGAGTTGTAGAAGTCCAGAGGCATTAAGATTATTGGAGATTCATTTAAAGATGGTATTCTCAAGTCTTTTCACCAACTTCAACTTCAGTATGGCCTTCCCAAGGAGCATTTTTTTGGGTACTTGCAGATTCGTCACTTTATTAAGGGGCTGAGTCTCCCCTACCACAATACTCCTAAATTAAGTGCCCCAAAATCCTTTCTTATTAACTGCAAGAACTCCTCCCATTTTATTTCCTCCTTTTACTACCTGTTACATGACACTTGTCCAATAAGCTTGTTTAATGTCCAGCGTAAATGGGAAAGGGACCTAGATAATGAGTACATAGAAGACGACAGGCAAGAAGCTTTGAATTGTATCAAAAATATATGTTCTTGCAACAGACTGAGGGAAACTCAATATAAAATTCTTTATAGATTACGCATAACACCTTCCATCTGGAATAAGATGGACCCAGGCCTGTCGCCACAATGTCTGAAATGTCTCAGAGAGAGAGGGGACTATATTCATCTTTTTTGGCAGTGTAAATACATATCATGGTTCTGGTCCTGTGTAGCAAAAGAGCTTAGTGGCATTTTCAAAACTAAAGTAACCAAGGATCCTGGCCTCTTCCTACTTGGCCTGCCATCTAAGTTTGTGTCTCTCCCCTCTCTTAAATTTAAATTGCTGGATAAACTGTTACTTTTGGCCAGAAAATGTATACTGTTGAGGTGGATCAAGGACAAATCTCCCACTGTTACTATGTGGTACAAAGAGATTTTTTCTGTACTTCCACACGAAAGGATTAGCGCAGTGCTGAAGGGCAATGGACAGTTATTCTTGATCACTTGGCAACCACTCATGGACAACCTCCCTGCGGAGAATCTAGATCTATTGTCAAAAGGATTCTCTTACCTGAATTGGAAGCCCTCTGGACTGAATACGGGCACTGGACATTCCCATTCAGGCTGAGGCTGGATTTAAATTTAATGGACTCTGGCAGGTTAATAAAACCGTGAAGTGAGCATAATGAGGAAACGGGGGATTTTATGTCCTACTTTATTTGCCTTTTCTGGTTTTAGTTTTATTGTCTGTTTTGGTTTGTTTTTTGTAGTGGTTGATTTTAGTCCTTTTGGTTGTGTCTTTGTACATGTCTTCTAACTGTTATATTGTTTGAAAATTTCAATAAAATTGTTATTGAAAAAAAAAGAAAAAGAGAAGCAGATTGTAGGATTATGGCAACAACACAAATGACTTTCTAATGTCTTTTGAAGACAAACCACACAGCCAGCTGACGACGTCGATTATACTCCATATCTGTTTTACTTCTGAAGTCACATTTGATCACACAAGTTTCTTTCTGTAAAATAATTACTACAAACGACAGGTGTGTGGTCTGGCCAAATTTTCTAGATTGGGGGTTTATAATGTTAAGAATTGGTTAAAACTGTCCTTACTGTATATCTGTGGTTTCTTACATTCTTAAAATCGCTTAAGATTTGAAAATGTCCAAGTGTGTGTAGCCAGCCTAAGCCAGAAGTGACCATATAAGGATTTGAGGCTGACCCTAGAGAGGAGTGCAGGGTTGCCAATCTATGAATAGTAAAAGATCATTAATGGTTTTGTAAGAAATGTAAACAGTGAGTGTGAAAAAAGGCTTTAAATAAATTGAAATGACTGAAAAATGACTGAAAGAGTTAACGCCTCAGAATGTCTTTTACTACAACCAACAATACAATTAACAGTGTGGTGGCTGAATGAATATCCAAGTATTCATGTGCAGTGCCTGGGTAAGTGGACAGAGAGATATAGGACAAATAATTTATAAGTTATATTGCAGCGGATGAATCTGTACAGTTATTATTGTACAGTGAATGAATACAACAGATATAATAAATAAAACCGATATAGAGCAGTGATTGGATAAATTACCGGCCGTATTGAAGAAGACTTTAACTAGAGATTGAGACCATTCACTCATTAGGAAAATGTTACTGAGGGAGAGGGAATAGATGAACTGAGTCTTTGGGACAATTTATCATCGACTTCTATACAACCAGTGGAGTCGCCCTCTGCAGGCCGTTTGGAAGATTACAAGTTTTAAGGCACTTTCATGTTTACTTCACTTTTGAGTCCAACAAGCTACATCCTCATGTTAGCAAAGATGCAGTTAGAATAGTAGCGTGCTAATGTTAGCAGTTAGCTCAGCTGCTTTCATAAACAGAAAACGCCAGACCTAGATTCTGAACACTTTACCACATCAGAAAAGAGATGAGATGATTTATTTTTCCCATTTTTGAGGTGTGATTAATTACATTTCAGTTAATATGTTTTGATTTGAAACTCCTAAATGAAGCGTCCCCCCTCAGGGTTTTCTTTATCCTAAAATTATTTCTCAGGAACTTCGCAAAGATAAAGTTTCTCAAATTTATTTTCCCAGAATATTCTCTGAAATCAAGGTTTGGCGAGTGTAAACTTGATGTTTGGCATATTGGTGTGTTGAATTTCCTGACGTAAACAAACACAGAAACAGGAGGCTGGTTCAGATGACCCTGGCACTTCTTCTACATTGCATTAACGTATCCTAAAGAACACTTATGGAGTACTCCAGTAACAGGTCTTGGAAGTCTGGCAGTATTTATCAGTCAACACAAGATCCAATCAGATTGGATCAAATCCTGTTAACTATTTAAAAAAGAAAAAAAGGATGACAAATCGGTTTAGATGGGTTAATGCATTCACCAGTTTTGGTTCATATTCTGATCAAACCTCCAGTAATAACTTAGATCCAAAAATCAGGATTATTCTGATCCCAGAATGGGCTGTAAGAAAATGTCAGAAAACATTTAAAAAGGTCAAACAAACCATTTCTACATGATGTTGATACGTGTGTGTATATATATATATATATATATATATATATACTGTATATATATAGTTGTGCTGACATAAAGAAGACATCAGGGTTGTGAAAAACATGAAAGATTTTGTCCTCAGAAAATATTTCACCACACAGCTGCAAAGATCTGATCGAGTATTAGAGCTAGAGTAAAGACAAATAAATAATAAATAAACCATTTATGTGAGGGGGAAAATATTTTATTAAAATAATAAATCCTTAACATTACAATGAAAACGTAATAATATGAGGATGTCTTCAGTTATTTGTGAAACTTGAAAATGTAACTTCACAGGTTCCTCATTGGACGGACTTAAAGACTGCTGGAGGAGTTGTGTGGATGAAGGGACACTGACTGGTACATGTGCTATGATCCAATGATTAGTCAATAAATGAAGATCCACTGTTACATTATCAATGTTATAAAAAAGAAAACTATACATTTTAGGAGACTGTAAAGTGTTTTCTGCTTGATATACCGACTGCTCTCATGACAACGGATCATCCTCAGGAACTGGAAGAAATCTGGAGAACCTCCTTTCCAGGACTGCAGGACAGGACAGAAAAATATCTCCTGAAGTGGGGCAGGTACAGTCTCTTGATACTATTAATAGGCCAGAGTGAAGCTCAGGTGGATTAACACTGGCTTTGTGGATTAGGTTGGTGATAGTCTGTATTATTATTCATTTAAATTATTTTATTATCATTTCTATTTGAAGAAAACCTAGACTAGAGGCCCCTCTGACCCCTCTGGGTTAGGTTTTAAAATTCAAATCGAGAAGCACAGGCAGCTGCTGCTCTTCTGACATTCCCCTTCAGATTAATTGTAGTCCAACCACTGGCCTAAAATAACAACTTTATCTCATAATACTTAATTTGTCTTGAACAACTTCGCTTTTAAGATATTATGAAATATATATTCTTATGACTTCATTTTCTTAACACTATGACTCTGTCCTTGCAATACTATGACTTTGTCCTCAAATGATTACCACTTGACAGCCAAGTCCATTGTTTTCCTTAAATATGGCCCTATAACAGCTTCATACATATCAATTTAAATATTCAATTTAAAGCGGATGTGAGGATCTTTCATTTTTTGAGGATTTTTGGCGCCCGCTGTGGATAAAGTATGTAGTCCCATTTAGAGCTCTATAGTAATCTTTAAACGTTTGTACCTGATTAGGTTCATCTTATCCAGTTATTCTTTGAAAAAAATCAGGATCAAAGTAAATGGATTAGAGAATTTTCCTAAATCTGGACAACTCTGATCCAGATCTGAACTTTTGACCAATCTGATGTTAGCAGCCCTTGCTAGCAGGGCTACTAACATCTCCCCTCCCGACAACATGGAAACTGTTTGTTGTGAAGGCTGCCTGACACTCTCACGCACTAGAGGAGAGGTTACCAACCTTAAAGAGAATATCCGCAGGCTTTCCAACGAGCTTCAGAAGAAGGACCTGATGCTTTCCAGCTCCATCAACGTGGCAGCCTCTCAGTCTAAAAGGATCACGGCTATGCACTCCGATATCTCAGATACCTTGCTGTGGGATCCTTTACGTCCCCGACCCTCCTCCTGCTCAACCCCAAACCCTCGGGAGTCCTGGGCCAAGGTTTTGGTGAGGAGTGGAAAACGCAGTGGGAGACTATCTGGGTCTCCCCCACTGCTTCTCCTCACTAATCATTACTCGGCACTGCAGAACGATGATCCGGGTGAGGTTAATGGGACCTCTTCGTTGTCTGTCCGAGCCCCCACCGATCCTGTCAGCTGCACACCTGAGTCTGCTAAGCCTGCCTCTGATGCAACTGTCGCTGCCGTTGCCTCCTCTTCTCCGAACATCATGGCTCCTGCCACATCCTCTGTAAAAGACGATGCTACCTCTGCCTCTTCTCTACCTGTTCTGGCACTCTCCTCTCCATCCTCTGCGGCATCATCTTCACCTGCTGCTGCTCCTGCTGCTGTCTCCGTAGGACAACAAAACAAACAACGGGGGAAGCTCTCCTCCCATCACAGAAGGCTGCTGGTGGAAGCTGTAAACAGACGCTCCGGCGGACTCCCCCGCACTCAACTGGAACGGTCCCCTTCACCAGAGCATTCACCTGCCCTGACCGCGCCTCCTCAGCCGGTGAGTCCACTCTGCCTTGACGTCACCAGACACGCACAAGTTCGCACTGTCGCCACTCAGGCCTCACCCCCTCGTCCACTTTTCTCTCCTACGACTGATAGTCGGCGACTCCATAATAAGGAATGAACGTTTTTTTCAATGCCACCACTCTCTGCCTCCCTGGTGCTACTGTCCCCGTCATTTTAGAAAGGCTCCGGAAGATTCTGCCCTCTCTTACCACCACCATCACCTGCCTTATCGTTCATGTGGGCACAAATGACACCTCCCGACAACAGTCTGAACTGACCAAAGAGCACTTCAACCAACTTTTCAAGCTCTTAATACAAACTGGTAAATCCATTTTCATCTCCGGACCCACTGCGCCTCTGTCCAACGCCGCTCGTTTCAGCAGAACCCTCTGCCTCCACCACTGGCTGCATTCCACCTGCAGGGCTCACGATGTGGCCTTCATTGACAATTTTAATCTGCTCTGGAACTGCTACTCTCTTTTTAAAGCTGACGGACTTCACCCAAAAAAAGCAGAGTCACACCTGCTAACTACAAGCATCCAACACATTACAGTACAGTACACGCCATGCAACTGACTATCAATAAATGACGACATCAATACAGCCGATTCCCAATCTTCCTCTATTGTTTCAGCACACCCAACTGTTTCCCCCACCAGCCCCCCCTACCGTCCAAAGGTCTGCTCCTCCATCCTCCCAGCTCTCTCTGTGATCAACAGCTCCCCCCACTGGCCTCATCCCTTGTTACCACATTCACTGACATTGTCTGCAATAGAAAATCTCATTACAAGAAGGCATCCAGATAAAAACAAAATCACTGCTAAATCTGTCAATTTTTCAAATTTGTCAACCATCCCGTCAGCCACTCCCTCACCCTTCACACCTGAAACTGGCCTTGCTGAATACTCGCTCCCTCAACAATAAAAGCCTCATTCTCCATGACTTCATAACCGACACCAACCTGGACTTCCTATGTCTCACTGAAACCTGGCAAAAACCCTTAAACTATTACTCACTAAACCAAACCACACCCACAGGACACACATACATGGACAAACCCCACCCCGATGGACGGGGTGGTGGTGTTGCAGCCATTTACAGGAAGGACATTAAAACTAACACCATTCCCATCCCTGCATTTGACTCCTTTGAACACATTGCTTTCAAACTCTCTGGTCCAACTCCCCTAGTCACTGCTGTAATCTATCGCCCCCCCAAACCAAACCCTTCTTTTTTCAGTGATTTTCATGACTTTCTGACCCAACTCTGCTCTGTCTCAACTTCTGTTCTGCTCCTTGGGGATTTTAACTTCCACGTTGATGACACTCAATGTAAAACTGCTAAAGAATTCCTGGACCTTCTTCACTGCCTCAACTTCACACAACACGTCAACTTCCCCACTCACAACCGCGGGCGGTCACATTCTGGACTTGGTCTGCTCCACTGGTCTCACAATCCATCAACTGTCAAGTCTCAACCTCAACATCTCCGACCATCTGGCTATAAACATGGACATTCTCAACCCTCTTCCCACTCCAAAACAAAAATGAAAGATCTCCTTCAGAAACATAAAATCAGTCGACCCCTCAGCTCTCTCAGCCTCTATTACCAGCAAAATCTCTTCCTCCCCTCCCCCCCAATTTAATAATCCCTCTGAACTCATCACCTACTATAACAACATACTCTCTTTCTGTTTAGATCAACTGGCTCCCATCAAAACTAAAACTGTCTCATTCACACACTCTGCACCCTGGTACACTCCCGAACTCCATAAAATGAAAACCTGCAAACGCCAGCTCGAAAGACTCCACAAGAAAACCGGTTTAACAGTTCACTTCCAATCATACTCTGACTACCTCAAACAATACATGGAAGCTCTCAGCGCAGCCCGGTCTACCTATTACTCACACCTCATCCACTCAGGCTCATCCAACCCCAAGGCTCTCTTCTCTACAATAAACAAACTCCTCAAACCCAGTGACAACACCTCTCCCTCCTTCACAGCTGATAAATGTAACGCTTTGACACTATTTACAGCAGCTTCAACACTCTCTTCATCCCTTCCCGCATTCCCTCGCCTCATCACCCAACCTCTGTCTCAGTTCTCCCCTGTGTCCCCAAATGAGCTATCCATCATCACCTCTAGCATGAAGTCCTCCACCAGTATTCTCGACCCCATCCCATCCAGTCTCGTCAAAAACTGTCTCCCAGCCATCACACCACTCATAACCTCAATCATCAACTCCTCCCTCTGCTCTGGTTCAGTACCTAAAACTCTTAAACTGGCAGCCGTCACCCACATCCTCAAGAAACTTGGACTCAATACAGACAGCATGTGCAACTTCCGCCCCATCTCCAACCTCCCCTTCCTTTCAAAAATACTTAAACGTGTTGTCGCCTCCCAGATCAAATGCCACCTCTCCTCCAATAACCTGTTTGAACCATTCCAGTCCAGCTTCCGTTCCCAGCACAGCACAGAAACAGCTCTCCTCAAAGTCACCAACGACCTCCTCCTCTCCTCAGACTCTGGCCTCCTCAACATCCTCATCCTCCTTGATCTCACTGCAGCCTTTGACACCATCAGCCACAGTATTCTTCTATCCCGCTTAGAACACTCACTCAACATCACTGGCACTGCTCTTTCCTGGTTAAAATCCTACTTCACCGACAGACAACAGTTTATCAACATCAATAACTGCTCCTCCTCCATAGCTCTTTTGTCCCAAGGTGTCAACCAGGGTTCGGTGCTTGGTCCCCTCCTGTTCATCATATACTTTCTCCCCCTTGGTAACATTATCTGCCAGCATGGTCTCCATTTCCACTGTTATACCGATGACATCCAGCTCTACATCTCAATCAATTCAATCACCACTGAAACATGCTCTACCCTGACAAACTGCCTCAATGAAATAAAAACATGGATGCACACCAACTTCCTCTCTCTCAATTATGCAAAATCGGACATAATAATCATCGGCCCTAAATCCCTCACCAATTCCATTCACAACTTCTCCTTCACAATAGACAACTCCACTCTCTCCCCCTTCCCTCATATCCGCAATCTTGGAGTCATCTTTGACAGCCAGCTCTCCTTTGATCACCACGTCACCCAGCTCACAAGAACCGCCTTCTTTCACCTCAAAAATATAGCCCGCCTCCGTCCACTACTCTCATTTTCTGCTGCTGAAACACTAATCCATGCATTCATCACATCCAGACTCGACTATTGCAATAGCATCCTTTTCGGCACACCATCCAAAGTCCTTAATAAACTTCAATACATTCAAAACTCTGCTGCACGCCTCCTTACCCACCTGCGGACATGCGAACACATCACCCCTGTCCTGCAAAATCTCCACTGGCTCCCTGTCCCTTACCGTATCCAATTCAAAATCCTTCTCCTCACACATAAAGCCCTTAACCACCAGGCCCCCTCCTACCTCACGGCTCTCCTTCACCCTCACACTCCTGTGAGGGTGAGGCGTTCTTCAAAAGCCAACCTACTATCTCCCCCTCTTAGAACCAAGCACCGAACGTGGGGGGACAGAGCCTTCTCCATAGCTGCCCCCTCCCTCTGGAACTCACTCCCTACACACATTCAACACTGCACCGACCCTCCTACTTTCAAATCACTGATCAAAACTCACCTCTTTAAACAAGCTTTTAATGTATGATTGTGATGTATTTTCTGTTTTCCGTAGTTTTACCCTTATTGTTATCTTTATGATTTGTGTGTAATGTTGCAATGTCTGTTAGTCTGTCCTTACTGTGCTGTTCTTTGAGTTTTTTTAAAAGCGCTTATAAATAAAATGTATTATTATTATTATTTTTCTTTGACAAAAAACAAACACAAGGAGCTGTGTGAAGGCAGTGACACAATGTGTGCTGTTTATTACGGCTCTGTGACTCACTGTGCAACAGTATAGTGTCATATATTAAATGCTTTACACAACCTTTAAAAAAAATGTGAATGAGAAGTGTGCGATGCTCTGATCGTGAACTTTTCTTACATTTAACCGTTTTTAAAGATCATAGAAGCAACAAGCCAGCTGTGGAAACAGTCGTCATGAACATCTTACTCCGTTATCTGTGTTTCTGCATGCATATGGGTTAGCTGTATAGAGGACATCTGGACACGCACACAGAGAAATGCATCATTTATCACACACTCACTTAGTCACTCAGAAGTCTAGACATTTCATTTAAGGTTTGCTCTGAAGCATCAGGCTTTCAGAGCCGAGGGGTTGCTGTGATTGACACTCCTCCAAACAGGTGGAACAAACAAGAGACACAAAACCCGTGAAAGACACATACATACACACACTCTCTCTCACAAACAAACAGGCTGAGAATGTGAAGGACAAAAGGGCTGATGGGTGGCAGTCATTCCTGCCCCCGCGGCTCATCAGAGCAGCAGGTCTGTGACGGAGGGCAGCAGCTCGGACAGCGCAGACTCGATGTTGGCCGTCTGAGTGACGGGGTTTCCACGGAGATCAAGGCACTTCAGCTTTGGGCATGACGCCAGTGGCTGGAGATCTGCCAACGTGGAGATTTCTGATATTTAAAGTTAAACGGAAAAAAATAAATCGTTCCCGAGTGGATGTGGAGAGTGGTATTAGCAATAAACAGAAGTAGTCTTCAGTATAAATAATTGGAAGCCTAACTACAATTAATATCTTTGAACATACAATAAGCAGGCTGACTAAAGCAGAAGGAAATGGTCTGGATATACAACATGTGATGTTACTGTAAGAAGAGGATGAATTCTTTATTTTGTGTCTCAGGTTTTTTTTGGTGATTTTTTTCCTCTTGGCATTAAATTGCAAACGCCCAAAAACTCATAAACACATTATTCAGCCTGTCATCTGATGATGTCTTCATTGAGAAAAAACTGAAACAATTCTAAACTATTTTTCAGTGTAGCTTTGTAAAAGCACTTTGAGTAGTCAGAAGACTAGACAAGTGCTATACAAGCTCAAGTCCATTTACCAAGTTACCATGGTGATATACCCAGGTAAAGAAGTGAACCAGGGTTAATCTTGAAGTTTCCTCGCTGACCCCGAAAACCTGCTTGGTAGTACAGACCCCTGGTGATGATATGAACAGAGACATGATGGTTTTCTGACTCATCCGGAGGGAACAATATTTGCAGGCTGTGTTTGACAAACACAAATGTTTCTGCGGTCAAACTCCCGTTATGTAAGGTGAAAATATGCCTCACTGTTGTCCTGCTGTCATTACATAAAACATAACGGGATGGTGGCCTCAGTGTCAGGACCTGACGGCCACATTAATCCCTCTTCAGTTCATCAGAGGAAGTGAGGCATGAAGGAGAGGGAGTTAGGTCACCCTCTCCTTCTAATGATGCTGTTTGCTCTGTGAGCCTGTCAGCGCTCACTTTATTTACTCCATCACTGCACAAAACGTTTCAGGAGACAACAAATTATTCCTGCATTCGGCCTGAAGAGTCTCCCCTGACTGCAATTATCTCAACTCCGTAAACTCAACTCTCAACTCAGAGTATTGTACGGCTTTTACATATCGCTATCCACACACCATCAGCTGCTCGCCTCTTTAGTGCGATGGTTTCTGAAACGCTCGGAGCGGATTCACACATTTCTTAAGTCACTGAGAGGAGTACAAGAATATAATTGACCCCTCCCGACACTGACGCTGCAGGATGAGCACAGATCCAGAACAGGAAGTCCTCCAGCAAAAAATAAAACTATGAATGTGAGTCATGGATTTATTTCAAGGATACTGTTATTTTTCAAGAGAAGTTCCTCCAGTTTGGGGAGATGATACACTCCCTCCAGGCTCTCTATGCAGTTGTTGTCAACCTCCAAGACCTGCAAGAGGACAAACGTCGATTAGATTGAACTCGTTGCAGAAAAAGACAAAATAAATGTTTGCATTTCACTGCAGTTCTCTCTAAACTCTAAGAAGAAAATAACTATTCATGCAGGAGTTGTGTTTGCATTTTAGCTTCATCACCTCCAGGCACTGCAACATGGCAAACTGAGGAGGCAGCCGCTGCAGCTGATTGGACGACAGGTTGATGTGAGTGACCAATAACAGCTGGTCCAGGTGGCACAAGGTGGTCAGGTGCTGTTTTTAAAAACAAAGAATAGGTGAAGATCTTTTCCCTGATGTTGCAGACAGTTAATAACACTTTAATTCAGGGTTGTGAGCATTAACATCTTAATCACATCAGGTCAGAGATTAAGGTGTTAATTTTTTCAAATCACAAATCGCACCTGAAGGCGCCTCTAAGGTAAGCCACCAGCATCTCCCTGAAGTGTTCCTTTTAGCCGTTTAGAATTTAGATCTGTTACAAGTTCCTTTTGGGCTGTTAAGTTAAAGGGTTTATATGTGATTTTTCACACTTAAATGGAGCATAATAAAGATCGCTAGCATTAGCATGCTAACACAACAATGCAGCGCAAGTTGTTTTGGTTTCATGCTGGTGCTCAAGGGCGACATCTGCTGGATCTAAAAATCACATATAAAGCCTTTAAAGTCATAGCCTTCAATCTACTGGAAGTTTCTTATTCTATTTCAAAATACAAGCAAGTTTGCATCCAAACAGAAAGTGAACAACAATTCTAAATAAAAGCCAAACTAAACTGTTGAGAAATGCATTGTATGTAATGGAATATGAAACGTGATTAAAAATGCAATTAATCAAGCAAACTATTGAAACACAGTAATGAATCTTGATTTGTGTTGTTGTTTGACAGCCATACTTTTATTACCAGCAAAGTGAAACTGCAAACTGTTAACTGTAATAAACACAACGTTTATTTGGTTCTTTATTCACCTCGCAGGTGGAAACACATACTACAGCATCCAGGTAGTGTCCCCGCACAGATGCAAAAGTAAAGAACATAAGCAGAGGAGAACGACATGTGAACAGAACCAACCTTGTCAGAAATACTGAAGACCCGCACTTCAGCGTACTCCATCTTCAGGATGGTGTTTTCAATCATGAACTTGCTGCACAGGTCACTGTAGTAGGCAGAACGCGTGGCGTCCACTTCCTGATGGAGAAATGAGTCAAATACATTTTTTCACATGTTCTCAAACCTCTTACACAACACTTCAAGATCATCTGTTTTTATTTACAGGAATTGAACTTTTATGTCGTCTTTACGTGGTTGGTATGATGTGGGTCAAAAGTTAAAAATAAAGTCAAAATGTTGAGAAAAAGTTGAAATGTATCGAAGAGATTAAAGAACTAAATTTAATTGAATTTGAAATCTTCATTGTCTGATTTGTTTGACTTTAACTTTCCAACCAATAATTACACATTTAAAAAAAAATATTAACCAAAACTCTGCACGGTAAATTAAACTAGCAGAAGTTAAATTAAAGTTGAATACATAAAACACACGGACAGCGTATGAGAATATTATAAGATACGTAAAACAATGTTAATAAATAAATCGACACAAAGACAAGGGGCCACATAGCTCTCCTGCTGGGAGGAATAAAAACAGCTTTTAAGACTTGATTTAAATGTAGGTAGAGTGTGGGACGCTGATGTTGTAGAACTTAATTTTGCTTGTTGGCTAATTTGTTTGTCCTCATATTTGTCATAAGGTCAGTTATAATCTGCCTGGAATTAATAAATGAAGTCATCACAAAGCTTCGGTCGTCGTTTAAGACTACATATTCATTACTCACTCTGAGTGTTTGAAAATGAGCGAGTGTCTCCTTTTCATATCCCAGAGGGTCTAGCGCCCTCATCAGGAGGATGATGGTCAGTAAGCACCCTGCAGAGGTGACAGGATACACGTTGATTATCAGCAGCAGACGTCAGTATTCTAAGTGGATGTGATGAATTAAAGCACTCACACTTATTGAGCGGCTCCAATTCTTGCAGCTGGTTGCAGGATTGAAGCTCGGACTGTAACACCGACGTCTTCTCTATAGACAGTTCACTCCTGCAGACAAAAAGCACACCCACACTTTTGTTTCTCACAAAATCAAAAAAAGAACACAATGTGCTGCTGGTGTGAAGAGAGGATACCTGAAGAGTTCCTGATCCGTGGCAGAGTCTCTGCACCAGCTCTCAGCTCGACCTTTAGAAAAGTTCACAGTAAGAGCAAGCTGGAGGACCCAAAACTCTGAGTCAGAGCATGACATGAAGAGTGTGTGTGTGTGTGTGTGTGTGACTTACCTGTGTACAGCGCACAGTCTCTGTGAGTGTGTTTTTCAGTCCAGTGCACCGTCAGGTTGTGTTCATTTGTGATGTCGCTTATAGTTCCAGGAGGGAGATCACAGATCTGAGCCGGTGTTAAGGTTCAAATCAGGACAAAATTGTGGATTATTGATTCCACAAGTGAGAAGTTTTCCAAAATAAATGAGCCAACATTAACAAAAAGAATCCCAGCGTGAGGCTGCATAGTAAGTCTCTGGATGGTGTCCCTGCCTGAAAAAGCAGAACTGTGACTGACATGGACCCTCCATGATAGAACAGAAAAACAGCAATTTAGACAAACAAGGATTTCATTCATGTATCCAGATCTAAATAGAAAATTAGGACAGTTCCAGATTTAGTTTTAAAAACTTCTTTTTGTGCTGTAGGCTAAACAGAAAAAGAATAACATGTTTTACTTCGATCATCACAAGTTTTACATCGAAAAACAAACCCAATGATGAGAAAAGTCTATCCTCTCCGTCTTGTGCCTGCTCCACTTTTCAGAAAATGTGTGCTCAAACAGGCCGTTTGGAGATTTTCCCTTCATGACATCACAAAGGGCAGTAACTCCTCCCCCAGGTGGGTGACACTCCCACAGCTAGGTTTTTGTTCTGCCCTCTGAGTCTGCCTTCTCACTGTAAACAATAGGACATGGAGCGAGAAAGCACAGAGACACCCAAGCCCTTCCAGAGAAGGGGCGTGGTCAGACACAGCTCATTTACATATTTAAAGGTACAGACACAGAAACAGCCTGTTCTGAGCAGGGCTGAAATAGAGGGGTTTATAGACATGATCAAATACAGGATCAGAGTGGATTTAGAACAAGAAACTTCACACACATGTTTTGAGGAGCTCTGAGACGTATTGAAACTTGTTGAAAAGGAGGAGAATATGTGACCTTTAAAGAAGCAGAATTAATCCTGACAGCACAAACCTCCTGCAGACCTGTTCATTGATATTATACTCCAGAGAATATCAAGTCCTCCCACTTTATATTTTTGTTTCTATCAGTGAAGAAGTCAAACTAGAGTCAGACAGATGTTTAGTTCAACCCGATTTAGATCCAAATTTTTACAAGATAATAATGTTATCTTATTTCTTATTAATCTTAGACTAACATTATCCTTGATTTCTTTTTGTTGCTTTTACAGCTCGTTCCTTTTTGTACAATCTCTTTATAAATGTGTTAATCTACCGTTAATGTTTGATTTCCTTTAATTGCTCTTATTATTTTCATGCTCTCATATACTTTTTATTATTGGTTTACTTATTTATTTAGGTGTTTCTGTCGCTCTCATCTCTTTCATTGCTTTACCTCTTACTATCATTTTCTGTTTATATTAGCTTGTAGCTCTTTTTATTGCTCCTCTCTCTTTTAGTTTCTTTTATTCTCTTAAATCTCTGGTCCTCTTGATCTCAGCTTGTGCGGTTGGGTTTTTGTGTTGTCTGGTTTCTTACGATGCTAAGGTGGTTGTTATGGTAGGTCTTGTGATGGTTAGGTTATTTTGTTGTCTGGGTTCTTTTGCTTTGTTCTTTTTATGCATTTGCTGTATGTCAAAGCATTTTGTTAACCTGAGTTTTTGAAATAAATGTATCATTATTTGTTGAGTGTGGGCATGTGAGAGTCTGTAGAAGTTTTTAAAGGAAACTTTACGGCCATTTGAGTGCAAGCGCTCAAGTTGTGCCTGACTATCAGACCGTACATTGTGATCTCATACATCGTGAGCTAAAAGATTCAGTCATTCAGTGTGAGATGACATCCCACCACTACTTTTTTTTTTAGGATGGTAAAGTTTACTCCGGGTTGTAGAGTATAAGGCAGAAAACAACACAGATCAGCAGAGAGCATATCAGAACAGAGTCTGCAGAACATTTAAAGAGCATCACAAGTGAGCAGAAAGTTGTTTTAATCTAATAAGATTTTCTGAAACATGTTTTTTATTTATGAAAATGGATCAAACTTTGTGCAGAAGAAAAAATATTTTCATTACAGATAAAAAGTTTTTTTTATCTTTATCCTACATTTTATTCACTGTACATTTTAATTAGTTTTTATTTACCCTGTTTTGATAGACTGATGGTATATCTAGTTTTTAATTTACCTTCTTGTGTTCCTTCCTTTTTTTTTTAATACTTTACAGCTGAAGAGAGACTGGAAATGTTTGGAGAAGAGAGCAGGGGATGACATGAAGCAAAGAGACCTGCGGCCGCTGTGACGAGGACTAAAGCCTCTGTTCATGAGGCATGCGACATAACCATCAGGCTACCAGTGTTACAGGGTTACTGTTTTAGTCGCTGTTGTCACTTTGTGTTTCATGTTTTGTCCGAGGCTATTTTTGTTAAATAATACTCAATCAAACTCAATTCTATTTATTTATCTAAATATAGTAACATAACCTACGCTAACTAACCTAAACATGTGACTTTTAGAATTAACTAGGGGTTCATGTTGTTTTAGAAAAAGAACCCGTTCAGTTTAAAAAAAGTTAAAATCCATTTGGAACTGAAGCAGAGGGTCCTGCCAACTCTCCTGACACTGTGGGAGACTCAGTCCATTAAACAGATTCCTCCATAAGTCCCTCTTCACGTCTGAGGAGGAAGTAACAACAGCATTCTCTATCAAAGTTTAGTGATGACACCCTTCCTCTTCTTAAAGAGGCACATACATCGTCCTTATCAGCGTGAGGTATGTGGAGAATGAACAGAATGTAAATACTAGAGACCTGCTTAGACTCACAACTACAGTCCGTATTCATGTCTGAGGAGAGAAGGAAAAGGAGAGAAGGAAAAGGAGAGAAGGATACCCAGACAGGGCTGTGTTTGAATCGAGGATGTACACTCCTCCACTCCACTCTCTGAGGCTGACCGTCCAGGACGAGCAGGAGGCCGACGGACTGAGCCTGACAGAGACAGGAGGGGAGAGAGAGAGAGAGAGAGAGTGAACACAGGTCAACACACACATGTGACATTACAGGTCTTAAAATATATCTGAATTCATTTCATAGTCAGCAGCAGCAGTACATGTTGACTAGGGTGTGGAAACCCAACTCAACTGACAACAAACTCTGAGTTTAAATAAGCAGTACATATTTTCACATTTACACTTTGTGGTATCAGACAGTTTGATTTAGTCTTCTATATAAAAAGTAGGGTTATGTTTTTTTAAAAACTTAAATAATTACTAGCATCATGAATGTGAAATATTATATTAACATTTTCATGTTTACTGATTGTTAAGCGACGTCTATTGTTTGGTTGGTTTAATGGCTTAATTCATTGATTTAAGACGGTTGTTTAATACATGTGTATATGTACATGTGTACATAAAAGTGAACTGAGAAGAGAAATGTGAGCGTCCAACTTTAAAAAAGTGAAATTGAGAAATGACCTGCACCTTTAAGAAAAAGCTAAAGACCCAGCTCTTTCATGAATACCTACTAACTTAATGATGATGGTCTCCATATTATTGATGATGATGATGATGATGGTAATGACGATGGTTTTGTTTGATAACAATGACTTATAAGATTGTTTCTATACTGATTAGAGCTCTCAAGAACTGCCCTCAATGTTGTGCTTTGCCTCTGGTCACTTCCTGTCAGCACCTGTGTGTCCAATCAGACTCAAAGCTGATCGTTTGCTCTTACTGACATTGCTCCCTTTTTTCTAGATCCTTGCTTGTGTTGTACTTACTCTCTGATGTACGTCGCTTTGGATAAAAGCGTCTACTAAGTGAATTGTAGAAATGAAACGTAAAGATACTCACATTAACGGGCCGGGAGAAGGCGACGGCCACTCTCTCCTCTTCCCGACTGACGTAAACACAACTTATCATCTCCTCACGCTCGGCTAATGAAAAGAAACATTTTAGGTTTAGTCTTTACTGATAAATGACAAAGCACAATAAACATTTGCATCTATGAATATGGACACAACTTCAGACGGACGTACCTCTGCCTAGCAACCAGCGATAGTAGAACCAGGCACTCTGGTCGTTAGGGTCGGTGAAGAAAGCGTTTTGTACAAGCTCATATTCTGATGATGAAAAAATGATTAAGATTGTTTATATTGTGACTTAAACATCTAAAAAGGAAGTTACATTTTATACATATCACATTGTGTGGAAGCAAAATAAACAGCATTAAATAATCAATCAGTTGAAACCAAACTTCTTTGCAACAAAACTACTCAATTTAAAATAAAACATTGTTTTTAGTGATAGTCTGATAGCAATATGATAAAAAAATAAAGTAATATAATACATATGTGTGTGATTTCCATGTGTAAAACATTCACCTGATAAAGATCCAAGCAGGATTTTAATGTTGTGAAGACTTGTTTTTTATGTGACATTGAATCATGATGTTTGGATTTACATTTTTTTAATGAATTGCACATCAGAAAGTGCAATACACAGCCTCAGACTGCCCCCTGTTGTTACTTTTTAGGTATTGCTGACAACACAATTCACATACTGTGAGGTTTTACCTTTGAGGAGCTGCTCCTCACAGACGCGGTGGGAGTGCGTTTGTGGAGAGGGCGGAGGGGAAGAGTGCGGGCGCTCTCGACGAGGTGACGGGGGCTCGGGGGACTCTGGGTGGAGCAGAGGCAGCAGGGTGCTGCGGTAATGCCAGCTGGAGTAGTTGGAGAAGTTGGAGCCAATGAGACGGTCGGTAAAACCCAACTCCTGATCGACCGGAACACCTGAGACCTTCACCACCATCCGACGGTAATCCCAGCAGTGGACTGTGGAGAGCGGTGGACACGGTTTGAGAAATGGATGGAAAGTGTTGAGACATTGGGACTGGGGGATCAAACCATATTGATACAGGATTTATTACAGGAGAAATGTTAATGCTGACCAGAACCTCAAGCAAAAAATAAATAAATACCGTCGCTCATTCAAACCACTCACAGATGGTATCAGTTTGAAACACGTGGTATGAAAAGGTAACGACATCATGAACATTTTGACAACCTTATTTTTTTTAATTTTACAGTCTTGTAAAGTCCATCCTTTTTTGTGTTTCCCTCTCATGTCACTCACAGTTGCGGTCGTCGAGGCTCAGGCAGCGATCACACAGGCTCAGCTCTCTGGCCCAATCGGGTCGAGGCAGCCGGGCGGAGACCCAACCTCGATGGTGCCAGCTGCCGTAGGACTTTGGATTCACCTTCAGGCAAGACTCCAGAAAAGACAGCTCGGCCTCGTAAATCTTCTGAACTTCATCCTCTTCTCTGAGGAGGAGAATAATTTAAAAAAAAGAAAAAATCATCACACTCCTGTCACATCGCAGATGAGTGTAGAATGTGAGTGACTTCCTATAAACACACATTATTAACTCTTGGACATGAGTCTTAAATCCATAGTCATACAGAGTGTAGTGCGCCTGTCTTGTCAGCTCTCATCGGGGTTGTCTTCTCACTTTTCACATACGCTGGTAAAACAGCAGCCTAAAAACTAGTCTGCTATGAAATCTCTGCCTTCCCCTGCAGATTTCAGTTCCAGGAGAGCTCAGCCTGATTTTGTGTTTGTATGTGATCATCCATTTATGAAGATACTCTTAGATCTTTGGTCCTCAAAACTTTACTGCTGGCCGACAAATAACACTTCACTTCCTGCTGATTTTTAAAAAGACTTTTACCTGACAGTTGATACATTTTTATCCTGATCATCATTACAATTAAAAAATAAGTGTAAACTAAATATAATTGAAATACAGTGACTTTACATTGGTACAAAATTAAGTCTTACTACAAAAATATGACAGAAATGTAGGGTTTATTATTAACACAAAGCAGGATCTTTTTCTTTATTTCATTTATTATTAATCAGGCTCAAAATCGTCTCTTGTGTAGCCAGCTTAAGTTTACCAGTAAACACAGAGCTCACCAGGAGAAATACCATATCTGAGGTTATTCCTATGTGAGCAGGTGATTAGTGAACTCATCATACTTCACAGTCTCCAGGTGCATCAGGATTTCTCTTCTGTAGTTCCAGAGTGTTGCAAAGTCAGGGTTGGACGAGAGAAGCTGCTGGGTGAGCTGGAGAGCCTCGTCATCCCAAATACCCTCCTTCCTCTGTCAGACAGGATCAAATAAGAGGGGGGGGGGGGGGCACAGAAGGTCAGACAAACAGGTAGATAGGTGTTTGATACTTTTCAATACCACATGTTTTAAAAACAATACAGTCAACGTTATTCTCAAGATCAAATAGTATCGAAAAATACAACACATAACTAACAGACACACATACTTCACTTAAAAAACAACATATAGACAAAACCAAAGACAACCACAAAAAGCCAGACAGCAAAGCTCCAGCCTCAACATATGGCAAAGGAGGTAACACCTGGATGTCACAAAGCAGGGACTACAATTAAGAAGTGGCAGAATTAAAATGTCTAACCACTTGGTAACGACATGTTAAAACGATGTGAAGGACTTTGCTTGCACTTTTTGGGGATTAAAAACAAGAAATTCCCCAACACTGGGTTCCTGGGACTTTATACTAGTATCTTATTCTGGTATAGTGACAACCCTAATGAGTACGTATAATAAATGTTCCATACAAAGGATAATACTGGTGTTCTATATTTTTAGAATATCTCCAATACTCTCTCAAGTCACCATCTCAACACCTCTATGTTTAATGCCCATGTTTGGCTACCAAAGGCACAACTCTTCATAAACAGAATAATGATATTCTGTCAAATATTCCCAAAAAAAAAGGTAGCTGGACATTGTGGATTTCTTTTGCAAATTATACCCAAACAAAAGGAAATAGTGCATTAGTTTAGTCCTGTATGACATCTGACCAACATTCATCTGGTGCTATAGTGAGTAGAAATCAAAGCAGGAGTCAAATGATCATATGCCATTCTCCATATTCACATAATTTACAGATACACAATCCCAGTGTGACTCAGGATGCTCTCCCAATCCAATCCTAAATTACAAAGAATCTAGAGCCAATACAGGGCCTTTCAGCCAATCCAGTTATCTCCAGACTTTCCTCTGCCCCTCCAACAAAATGTGAGCAAGCCAAACTTGGACGGTGCAAAAATAATAATAATCAAATATCAGTGAGTGACAACATCTGGCTCCTCTCTTCTGTAGTCATTTATGCACATTTGTGGAATCGTTTGTTCTTCCAGTTAAAAGTCGGCCGAGGATTTACATGTCAAGAAGCTTTTGTGACTTTTAGAAAAATGCAAACAAATCAGAGTGATGCAACACAAAATGTATGTTTTGAAGGTTTGGTGTTGGTTCAGTTTTTTCTATTGTGTTGAGCTGCTTTCAGATGATGTGTGGTTTGGTTTATCCCATTTCTCCTTGTACTTTTTGAAATGGTTGATCCTAATGAATTTCTACACTCATGCACTGAACACCTGATTAAGCATGTGATGGTATAATGCTTAATGTCTTAAAATGGGGATTGAGATTTAGATTGAAACAAAACTACTACATGAGGTCCCAAAATGTTCAACACTTTTCTATCCCATGTGTTTTAAGGATACAAACTCTGTTGTTTTATGATCGAAAGTATCTCTTTCACTAGCTGCAGTTTTAGGTTCAAAATATTGTTGAAGATTTGTGGTCGTTTTTTTTGTGGTTGTAAAATAAGTGTTTAGATACAAGTACAACCTTGGAGAAACAGGCATCTCTTGCAGCCACATATATCTTCAGTTTCTTCTCTCGCTCCTTTCTTTTCTCCTCCTCCTGCTGGGCTGTAGATTTAATCTTCACTCGGCCGTGCTGTCAAAAAACAACAAAATGATAGCAGCACAATTAACAGAGCTTCTGACAAACAAGCAAACAAGAAACCAGACGTACAAACACAAAATTATAAAATATTAAAAAGACACAAAAAAACACATTTAAACAGAAAATACCTCAAAACTGACCACAACAATTAAATACATCAGAATCTACAGCCAGATGTGTCCACCTCAAAGTCATTCCACATCCTCTTAAAATCATCCAATGAGAGCAGCTCTCATTTCAGTTCTCTTTCTAATCCAATCCAAGTAAAGGAAGCAGACATTTAAACGGCTTCTTCCCCAATTAAGTTCAGACAGAAAGAACATATCCTGAGATCAAAGATTTTAAGTCTCTTCTGACTTATGTAGGTCAGAAGATAGGAAGGAAGCAGCCCTAAAACAGATTTTAAATTAAGAATATGCCAGTGATTAAGTCTGAGACCTTCATACATGTGCATACAACAAACAGTGAAGATTGAGGGCTATAAATGAGTGATGAACCTCAGAGCTCAGTGATACACAGAGACCAGAGCGTGTAAGCTTTGAGAGAAGTCGTGCATGAAAACATCAGCCATGTACAGCACAGACATGAAAGAGGCAGCAGCCGGCGTCTTCTAAGAAGAGTCATCACTCATCAGAATCCCTCTTCTCTGGAATCATCGAACAGTCAGGGTCCGTGGGCAGACACCTTCCGTACTAGAAAGAGTAAGCTTTAAACTTTCCTTTCTGATAAAGCTTAAAGTTAGGGCTGTCTCAGGTATAGTTTGTCTCTATTCTTCTTTCTCTTTCCCATCTCAACCCCAACACAGCTCCTCCGGCTGTTCAACATGAGTCAGGTTCTGTTTGAGGTTACTGCCTCGAGATGGATTCATGTTGGGTCTGTGTAAATAATAAAACAATGAGTAACGTAATCTTTTCCTGCTCTTTCGTAAAGTGATCTTGAAATCTGTTATGAATTGGCACTGAAGAAATAAAGATTGATTAATTGACTGATTCAAAAGAAAGACAGGATTTGATTCTAAAATTAAAACCCAGTTTGAGTTTTAACCTTTTTACAGGCTGCTGAATATGAGGAGTAAAAGAGAGCGATTTAACAATTACAAAGAATATATAATTAAATATCTTACCATGCTTTATCTCTGTGAGGCAAACGTTCCCAAAACCTGTTTATAAAACAATAAGGAGAGGTGTTCAGAGTCAGGCCTGTTTATCACTGACATGACAGTCACACAGGCAGCTGACAGTCAGGACAAGTCAATATCATCAGCTTGACCGAGTCTATAATATGACTCACATATTTAATATCCATTAAGGGGAAAACAATCTGAACATAAACAAACATAAATCCGAGGTTAGCTCGCTATTTAGCTCCGTTATCACAAAACAACACAGTGCTCATTCAAACCAGCTCACAATAACAACGAACCCGTCGTACTACATATATCTTCATCCCAGCTGTACACTGAACGCCTCGGGATCTTCTCCACCAAATACTCACCTGATTTTCTACCCGGCTTCTTTAGTATTATTTCAGAAATCAGTTTGTTTTGTCATGTCACCATAAGGATTTCTAACGACTACAAATGTCCACTTCCGTCTCAGTGTGATGACGTCACGGAGTGTTTTGGCCTGTGCGCGGTGTTTTGTAGCTCTCTAGTGGAGAAAGCGGCTAACAGCAAGCAGAGGCAAACTAAAGTGGGCAGCCTTAATATGTTCAAAGTCCCTGTAAACCAAAAGAAATATACGTTTTTTTATGTAGTTTTTTATACAAAAGAAGAATGTGTTATTAACCACCAGGCCAAATTTCAGCAATGACAAAAACTTATAAGTTTATAAAATTAAGCTTCAAAATCATGAGAAATGTAGCTGTTTTCTCGCCTCTGGGATGCTGTGGGCGTGTCCATAGAATGCGCAGAAGCCACGCCCACTCGCGGAGAGGCGTTCCCTTCTCAACTGTCAAAAATGTAAATGACCTGACAATGGAGGCCTCAGCTCCTCTATCAGACCTGTCTGTCACAGAATGGTCATTTTTTTTATGTCTAATAATGGAAGTATGTCCTTTTTCAGGGTTTCAAGAAAATAATTTTCATTTCTTAGAACTTCACCTGAAACCTAAAAAGGGAACTTTCTGTAATAACTGAAAATGTACACTGCACAGAACATAAAAACATTCAGCTTGTTAATAAGAGAAAACCCACTGTGGCCATGTTTGATATGCAGGATGTTTAACTGTTTGACTCTCAAACATCCAACTCCTATCTGACAATCTGTTTATCTGCACCTTTAACATCTGCACTTACTGTTGCTTAAAGCAACCAGAAAGCAACACAAACTTCAGAGGGTCTACACTTTTATTTTTATTTTTATGTACAGGTCTAATTTTACCAATGTTCCTTAACATTTTATAGGTTACACTTAAATTGCACATATATTTTTATTCCTGCACGGGGTTATGTAAATTTTCCTTTGTATTTGTCTATGTTTAATTGCACAGGTTTCATTTTAACTCATGGGGGGGCTCGTAGGGGCATACTTAAATCTTTGTTTCGGGTTAATATATGTATGGGAGGGGGGACAGCGGTTTGTTTATTTGTAATAACTCTTTCAGCACAAATTATAATGAGCTCATCATCTTAAAAAAAAGTTGAGTTAAAAAAGTTATTTATTGTGATTATGGACACACATGACTACACATCAGAGTACAGCTTTAGGTTGTATTTTCATTCGAGTGTGTTTTGAGGTTCAATACCTTTACAGTAGGAGACAATTCTACCTTTTAAAGAAATGACAAACTATTCCTAATCTTGCCTAAAATATTCATTTTGTTGATTTGTAAGAGGAATGAATCATTAATCGATGCTTTCAGGGCCACATTGTCAATCTGTCCTTTGCTGGTTTATTAGCTAAATTGACTACCGCATCTAAAGGTACTTTCTTTCGACACAACAACACAGGGCACTCTTGCCAATAATGATTAAAGGATAATAACTGCAGCACAAAGATTTACATCGAATCAGAATACAGTTTATTATCAATGTACACACTGAACACAATAGGGGGAAGGGAATATTAATATGAACAGAAACATTTACAACAAAAAACATGGACGAATGTAATCAAATAAAATTATAGAAAACATTAAAACATTATTTTTTTATAAAAATAATAGAACCTTCAACATTGATACAATAAGCTTAACAGATAGTGTCTTTAAGAAAATAAGCTGTACTTTTTTAAACCTCATTTTTTGTACTTGAATAATTTAGAATGTGAAATAATTAATAAAATTAGTGCGAGAAATATGTCCACTTCACTCTGACTTTAAATTGCAAATCTGTGCCCTTCGTATTGAAGGATAAAAATGACATTGCCTGCTGTACTTAATCATTTGATTTCTGCAGCTTCTACATGGACGAGTGAAAAAATTCACCCTGAACAACTTTCAGGCAATTTAGAGAAAACTGCTTAAAAGTGAAAAAGTAAGGTTAAGACACCTTTGTCATGGTCTCTTACATAAACTAATGAGTTTCCCACCCTAGAAGTATGTAAAAACACCCCCACAGATTAGCACATACCTGAGTTTACACTTTAAAATCAATGAACAATCTTAAGAAACAATAATAGCACGGAAAGTGAGCAAAGGCATCCACTAAGGCCGGTAGGTTGAGCAATTGGTATTGCCTTATGTTTGCACTACAAACAAACTTGTGTATTTAAACTGGTAATGACAGTATGGCAAAAACACGTTGTTGTACAAGTAATACCACGGGCGGTATTGACACCAGTTTACCGCCCACCTCTAGTCTACATTGATGAATTATCCAGTAATATTTTCTTCCATATGAAAATCCAGGTGGTCTTGGGGCAGCACAGATCTGTATCCTGATGACTCAGAGAAGTTAAGACTCAGCTGGTTGTCAACATTTGTGGCGATCTGAAGTTTGGTCAGCCAACTGGCAACTTTGATGTCAAAGTTGATGCTAGCTCTTCTTTCTGACAAAGAATCAGGAATTGTTGATTCTGGATTTTCTCCTTTAACTGTAAATGCAACACAGAACAAAATTTGTCTTTGATGTATAGCCCATTACGATTGTAAAAATTAGAAATTAAAGTCGAAAATAAATTCTTACACTCTGGGATCAAGAAGTCCATGCTTTTCCCAAGAAGATCTGTGGATCTCATTATCTCCTTGTTTAGATTTTCAATTTCCTGGCTGATTTCTGCATGCAAGTTTTCCTGCTTCTCATCTTTCTTTCTATAACCGATGCCCTTGATTTTGAATTTGTCCAGGTCACGAGCTGACAATTGAACAACAAAACAACAGATTAACACAACAGAATATTTACTTTAGATTCATCATTTCCCCTCTTCAAGTCTCACACAATGGTCCTCTACTGGAATACGAGATTGTAGCCTCTAAGGTAGAAGATACCACCTAAGCAAGAGTTTAATTATTGCTTTGTCTTATACAGAGATAAACTATTGTGATGTAGAGTGTGGATTGGTGCAGCTTCAGTGATGCAAAATTATATATCCACGCTCACTGATGGTCATGTGCTTTAGGTAGTGACCAAAAATTTTTAATAATATGAGTGGCCGAAATTAGTTTTTTTGGGGTTATAGAAAAGAGATGGGCTGAGTAGATCAGACATCTGACTCAGCATAGAGCTGCTGATCTTTCAAATACCCAAGATCCATCTTAGGTTTGGTTTGATACTCTTAGGATGCTTCCTTGGTGCGTCTCCGATACAGTCAAAGAAAGTGCTGGAAATTGGAAGACTTTAGGGTATCCCTGGAAAGGCTGGAAAACAATACCGGGGAAAGTGCTATCTGAACCAACTTTCTTGACCTGCTGCACATGTGGCCCAGTCTAGAATTAGCTGATGAAAATGGATGGATAAATGGACTGATCAAATACTATAAAAGCATATCATTCTGATACTGACTGTCTAGCTAGATGGCATGTAAAGCTGATCCTGGTCTGATTGTGATTTTGTGTTTACATCCAAGAAGCCATACTGTACATCATCTGTCAACAGAAGGCTGTGAGGCCTGTTTTCTTCGAGAAAGAGGAGGTGCTACTCAGCCTGAACCATGTACACTATCAACTGTTAAAAGATATTTTACACTCTCTACACCAAAAACTTTTATGGCGACTTACTCAATAGCTCAGACATCCGACTTAGCAAAGAGCTCTTCATCTTTAGCATCAAAAACAGCCAAGGATGCCACCTCTGAGCCATCAAGTGATAGGAGATCCGAGAGTAGACACAAAACATGCTGGAGTGTTAAAAAAATGCTTGTCTGAACTTAAGGACCCCCATGGAAGGGCTTGGAAACAATGCTAAAGAGAGTAACTTATTGACTAACTTGCTTAGGTTGACGACTGGACCTTGGAGACCTGACCAAGGAAACTAAAGAGTCAGCTGTTAGGAGGTATTTCAGTTTTTCTACAACAAGTTCTACAGCTTTTTGTTATGACTGCACAGCCATTGTTTTGAGGGGTGTATCAGCAGCACTGCAACATAACACTCAACCAGCTTACCAAATAAACCAATCTAATGTAGTCTGTGTTAGCAGAGTATTCCCGCGGGACTTTAATAGTCGCATCGACGAATCCCTTATGTTGACATTTTGTCAGGAATCATCCCATGCTTGATACTCACCTGTTGACCTGGGAAAAATGCTTGTCGCACTTCCTCTGGTCTTAGATTGCAGCTCGAGGAGTGTTTTCCGGAAGCCTGTCAGCAGCTCCAGTTCTCTCCTTCTGTACGTCTCCTCAAAGGACTGCTTCAGCAGCTGTTTGATCTGCCTCCTTCTGAACATCTCAATGAGTCGCTCTTGGATGTCGTCCATGTCAGGGCAGAACAACTGAATGCTGTTGCCTGCCACCATTTCCTCTATCTTCTCAAACAGCTCTGTGACCTGCCTTGTGTCATTTTTCTTTATGTTGCTTATTACATGATACCGGTTCTCACACTTGTCTACCAACCATCGTAGAGCACTGTGCTCCTTCTCAATGTGCTCTTCTACTGATTTTTCTACTAGGTTGTCTCCGTATGTGAACAGAACAATCGTATATTTCCAGACGATGGAATCAAAGAGACTCATGTGTTCTTCCAGGGCAACCTGCTGTGGTTCTCTGAATGTCAGGTCCAAGGGGACAACCAACAGAATGGCATGAACCCCTAATGGACTCAACGATATTCCTCTGACTATTTCTTTCTCTATCTCTTCAGTGCCAATGGAGGGCTTTAGCCACCAGCCTGGGGTGTCAGTCACTGTGACCAATCTGCCATCAACTTCTGCCTCCTCAACACGACACTGCTCATTCTGATAGGTGGGGAAGACATCTTTGTGCAGGAGGTTGTTTCCTGTTGCACTCTTTCCGAAAGTTTTTTGACCAAGCATTACTATCTTCAGGTCCTGCAATTTATTCCTGGAGCCTGAGGAGAAAATATTGGAGGATGAAAAGGCATATCATATCATGTACCAGCCTATTTGAACTCCTAACTTGTCTAATTTGGCAGTTCGGTCAATTTTTTTTATTGTACTAAAGTAGCAGTGTGAGGGAGTTGTTTTGTCCCTTTCAGCACAATGAACTTAAGCAAAGCTTAAGCAGTGATGGAGAGCAATAATATCACTGTTCCTTTGAATGACTCATTTCACTTGAAAATAACTCTCAGGCAGCTTAGTTGACAAGTCAAATCATACACCTTAAAACATTCAACATTTCACTTTTTTTAACATTCCCTTCATTTTCATTTACTCCGGTATAACTTTACCAGAGTTAAAATGTCCATATTATGCCCTTTTGGGGGTTCATATATTTAATCTATGTACCTACTTTTGTACATTCACAAAAGCTAAAGTCCGAAAAAAGTGTCTGTTTTCATGAACTGCTCCTCCTTGCTCCCTCTACGTTCTGAGTCCGTCAGCTACACTCTGCTGAGCCCCCACTGTTAGACCCCACGTGGGCCAAGTCTGCTCTGATTGGTCTGCCGATCCGCTCTGTCGTTGGTCAGTTGCTCAGCACGTGTCTCGGAAATTTCAACATGAGCTGCTGGGCTTGCCACAACGAGCCAATGGGCTTAGATCAGTGATCTCACACTGACAATGACGCCGCACTGACACATTTTTATCGAGGGGGGCTAGAACCGAGCATTACATGCGGCTAATGCTACAGCTAACAGGAGGAGGTAGGAGAAGCCGCGTTTCCGCGGACTTTGAATTTTTGCCTAAACAGGACACTTGGAAAACACACTAAAGGGCATATAAAACCAGAAAAAGCATAATATGGGACCTTTAAGTAACTTTTGATCTAAGGAAGGTCCTTATTTTCAAATTAAGGACCAAATGACATGTTTTTTTGTCTGGACCAAAGTAGTAGTTTGACCATTAGACATTATGAAGTTATCATCTTAGCACTAACTGCTAGCATCGCTAAAATCCTTTTAGTGTTGTATTTTGTATTTTTCATTTATAAGATTTATTCAACCTTGGTATCTATAAATTAAAATAGATTTGACAATACCAGACCAGCGTCATGTAATGATGCTAGATGATTGAATCATACCTTCAAGGGGTTTCTTTTTAGCCTTGACCTGACTTTGCCTCAGTCTTGCCCCTTCTTCCACTCTTCGTCTTGTCTCTACAATAGTTGAGTATATATTCTCATCTGGGACAAAACACTCCCAGTTGTTTCCTGCCACAGTCCAAGTGATTTTCTCCAGCATCTCTTTGATTTGAGTACCATCATCTGCATTCTTGTTATCAATGACGTGATATCTGTTTCCACATTGTTGGACCAGGATCTGCAAGGCCTCTCCCTCGCCTTCGATGTACTCCTCGATGCTGTGTGCTCCCAACCAGTCTCCTCTGGTGAAAACTACAATAGTGTGGCCCCACACTCCTTTCCCTAGTAGCTCCATATGTGTCTTCACTGCTTCTAAGTGTTTGTGGTTAAAGGATGCATCGGAGTCTATCATGAGCAGGAAAACATGAGGCCCAGGGCGACACAGAAACATGCTGAGCATCAGTTCCTCTCTGATAGCTACAGGAGTGTCACACACAAGGAAGTCTTTCCACCAACCTGGCGTGTCAACAACAGTTATGTCAGTTTTATTCACAAAACCCTGCTGGGCCACTGAGTGTGTCGTCTTCCCATCTTCCTTGTCTTTGATTCCCAAGATGACGTTCCCGACTGAGGTTTTTCCAACGCCTCTGCTTCCCAAGAGAATTATCTGGAGCTTTGGGATGGTTATCTTCTCCTCTGTGAGACAAAACAAAGCTGAATATTCATGGAGCCCACATACATATTTATTTATTTATTTATTTATATATATATATATATATATATATATATATAGAGATGTGGGTTAATTTGATTTAAATTAGTAGACAACATTTAACTGTCTGTAACTGAAGTCACACTTTTACATTTTTAGACAATTGTTGCACGACATTTTTTTCTCTGTTAAAAATAAGACAAGCAAATTAAATTGGGAACAAATAAGTATCTTAATACAAGTCCAATAAAGAATTCATCATAGGCTGGCTGCACACTAGACAATGTCAAATCTTAACCGATTTTAAAAACATGGGAGACCCCAGACATAGGGACAGTTTGAACGATTTGTAACAATTATAATCCTCTGAACACACACACACTAGATGTTTCAGCAAGAACGCAAGACCACACACCTTCTGTTTGAAATAACGATTTCACAGACACGGGATCTCACAGAAACTAGTGTGATCAGAAGTGATCATGTGACTTTATTTATTTTTAAAGATTGATTTATGGTCTTCATGTGACTTTATTGGACAGACTGGATAGAGTTGGACATCAGGGAGAGAGTGGGGAATGACATGCAGGGAAGTAGCCCCAAGTCGGATTTGAACCCAGGCCACCCGCTTCGAGGACTTCAGCCTCTTTACATTGGGCAACGAAAGCCAACCACTCTGTTACAGGCACCCCATGATGTTCATTTTTGAGTTGGCTTTCTAGATCTTCTAGATTTTTGTGCTAAGCTAGGCTAATCATCTGTTGGTTAAAGCTTCGGTTTACAATACTGGCACAAGACTGGTATCAAAATCGATTATTTTAAATCTCTAGGACTATAAAACATTAAGTGTTTCTTTCACCTGGAATGAGTTTTTTCATTTGTTGTCTTTCTTCCTCCGTCCTTTTTTGTCTCTTTGTCGCTCTTTCAGCCACTTCTCGCTGCTTCTCTTGAATGATGTTCAGTGTCTGCTCATCGACCTCATAGTAACCCCCATTGTTGTACCACACCATCTCATCTATCTTCTTCAGCAGATGTGTCACCTGAGACGTGTCACTGCTCTTCTTGTTAATGAACACATGGTACCTGTTCCTGCATTTCCCTACCAGCCACCTGAGAGCATCGCCCTCACTCTCGATGTGCTGCTCTATCGTCTTCTTCCCGAGGACATCCCCACATGTGAAGAGCACCATGGTGTACCTCCACACCCGCTCCCCCAGGAGCTTCATGTGCTCCTCCAGGGTCCTCCTCTGTTCCGCACAAAAGGCTGTGTCTATGGGAATCACCAGCAGGAACACGTGTGGGCCGGGAGGGCATTTGGACACGTTGAGTCTGAACCTCTGCCTCTCACCCTGTGGGATCTCGTTCAGGGAGAGCGAGTTGTTCCATCCCGGAGTATCGACGACGACGAGGTGCCTGCCCTCCACCTCCTGATGTCTCCCCTCAGACTGAGATGTTCTGGTTCGGCCACACTCAAACCTGTCCCATTTCAGGATTGTGTTTCCAGATAAGCTCTTACCGGCCCATCTTGGTCCAATCAGGATGAGTCTGACCTCCTTCTGAGTGAAGCTCTCTTTCTCCCCTAAAAGAAAGAGGAAAGTTTGATTAAATTTCAATGTCTTAAAATCCCTTTGTTTTTTTTATCAGCCACATGTTTTAGGCAGATTCAGCTCAATGTGAAGAGGCTTTGGTTTTGGCTGTGGAAAAGAGTACATGTATTAATAGCTGGTCTACATTGCTAATTTAAGCAAATGTATTGGCAGAAAAGAAATAGATACTACCTGGATAAATTGCTCAGATCCAACTGGACCAAATAATTTGAGTAAATATGTATTTGACCCATTTTTCTTTGCCATACATGTTTTGGACCTGACCTGATAGATGGGCTTAGTCTGGCCCATAAAAATGGATAACCCAGAAACTAAATATTCTGTTATAGTGCTTAAAATGTTTATCAAGTCAGACACAACATACTGTTCTCATGAAGGTGTGGGGAAAAATGATTAACGTCATCAGAAAACTTGCTGATGGTGTTTTCATTTGTATACCCTCTCCTCCTTTCCTTGGTAGACTGATGCAGCAGCCCTGTCTCATAAACCAGGCTGCTAACCTAGCTAGCACTCAGTATTGATGTATGGCTGTGTCAGACATACTAGTGTAAGATGGAGACCAGATTTATTTTTGTGAAGTTTTATTTTATAGATCTTTATTTTTCCTCAGGTTGAGATAATATACATTATTTAATGTAATGCTTATTTAATTTAAATTTACATTTTTGCACTTTGCCTTTAAGGTTGCCCATGGCTACGGTTGGGGGGGCATGGATTTGATCTGTTTTTGTCATGCCATGTTACGGACAGACATTGAAGTATGAGATGATGAGAGATTCAACTTTATTGTCATTACACATATACAAGTATAGAGTAACGAAATGAAGTTTGGCATCTCACCAGAAGTGCAAATAAGCAGAAAGTGCAAGAGTCTGTGATATGTACAGTAATTGAGTGCAAGAGTCTGTGCTATGTACAGTAATTCTGTGCTATGTACAGTAATTGCAAAATTTACAGATGTAGACAAAAAAAGTGAATTATGAGGTATATCTGGATGGCTGGATTAATGGGATGCAATAAATATAAATAAATGCTATAAATAAGTAATGTTACAAAATAAGTGTGTTCTTAGGATTATAATATACAGATTAAGATGCAGTGAGCATGCTATACTAATAATATACAGATTAAGATGCAGTGAGCATGCTATACTAGTTTACAGATAATATAAAGAATATGGACATAATATGAACATACTATAATACAATAATACAGATGGATGAGAGATGTGTGTGTGTGACCAGGAGGAGTGGTGGGGGGATGATGGGTGTGAGGTGATATGTAGGGGAAAGGGGGGGTTAGCAGGGTGCGGAGAGAGAGAGGGAGAGAGAGAGAGAGACAGAGTTCAGAGTTCGGGGGGTAGAGTTCAGTAGAGAAACAGCTCTGGGGAAAAAGCTGTTCCTCAGTCTGCTGGTTCTGGTCCGGAGGCTTCTGAAGCGCCTGCCGGAGGGCAGGAGGGTAAACAGTCTGTGGGCAGGGTGGGAGGAGTCTTTAAGGATGCCATGAGCTCGCCGCCAGCGTCTCTCTCAGATTTGCAATTTTGCAGTGAGACGCACAGCAGAAGCTGTCCCCGTGCTTTTACTTACCCACACCTAAAGGTACATTTATAAAGTATGTACCATATCCTTCTCTGGTCAAGACATCCATCTTTCACCACTCAACACCAACCTATGCGTAAAAATGGACCCCCATCTAACCTTTGATTCACACATAAAACACATCTGCAAAACCTAATTTCTCCATCTCAAGAACAGTAATAATAGTCGTAGTAATAATCATCACATTCACATTAACCTAGTCTTAGTTTTCATGCCAGACAAATGGCTGCCTTTTGGACTCTACAATCCGCCAGGTAAAGCCTGACCAGCTGTAGTCAACATGCAGCGTCTGCAGAATGAAAGTGAAGAACTTCAGGAACAAGGGGCCTGCTCTCCTACAGCGTCGTCACCAATCAAGGCTGTAGATATTTAATAATTTTACACTGACAAAAACGTGGTTACCTGGCTTAAGCTCAAAAATGTTCTTCATATTAACATGAATCAGGAACTGGTTTGAATGAAAAATCACTATACAAGTGCAATACAAGTATGTAATGTGGAATCATTGTCTAAGCCTAAAACTTAAAGCCACTGAGGGGCTACATAGACGGGCTAATCTAGCCTATTAATTGACGCGCTTGCTGGCTTCGCTAGCGTAAGAATTAAAAATAAGACAGTCCAATATCTTCTTTGTTTAGGAATATTTATTTGTCATTCCATCGTTGTCTTGATTAATGTCACATGTGAGCTGTTCAAACAATAATCCAGACATGTCCATTTACAATCACTCCTGTTACCTCATAGCGTGGCGTACAGCGGTCAAAAAAGTGTAATTGCTCCCCATCTAGCAACACCTGACACCCCAGTGATAGTTTCTACATATATATATATATCACCTTAACCTAAAGGCGACACCTGCTGGAACAATTTGTGTTTGCACTTCCTAAACATGACTCCTACAATCGCATCAGATATGACGTGTCGTTTTAGTGATGTTTTTATGGACCAGATATGAAGAAGAGGTGACAGTTCTACCCAAAATGTCTTGTTTTCAATAACTTTGTGAAGCAGTTTATTTGCCTCGATGAGTCTGCATTTTGTTTTGATTGAGATGTTAAAAGAAGTTTCTTTAAGAAAGTCAGCAGATGATACTCAGGAGGAGAATGTAATCAGTTGAGGTGTGAAAATGAGCATAGCTAAAGTGACAGGGTGTCACACCAGGTGTCTCTGCTGCTTTGCATGACTGGCAGAAGAAACACGCTCACCTGCTCATGTTGCTCCTCAGGGACTTCCCAGCAGAGTTATTTTTGAATCTATTAATCTCTATCATCGAGAGTTCAAAGAATCACAGTCATGTGAGCTCGTCCAAGACCGCCAAATATTTTTAGAATGCCCCCAACAAAAGGTTTTTTTCTCAGGCAAGTTAAAAGAAGCTACAGTGGAAAAAGATAACAGTTAAGAATGACTCATCACCTACGTCTCATGTGCCTTTTGATTTTTTTTGACAATACGTGACTGAAACTGGAACACATGGTGAGTCAGTTACCAAAAAGAAAAACAAACAAAAAGAAGTTAAAACACACAATGCATACACACAATAGTGTCATTGCGTTTTCATCAACTGAAACTGGCCTGTTGTTTGACTCACACTTCCACCTGGTGGTCTGAAGCACATAGCAAGACAATGATTCCACATTACATACTTGTATTGCACTCTAACATAAAGGTTTGCCTTTAAACAACCTGGTCAGAGATTCATATTCTCTGACCAGGTTCTTCTTCTTCTGGATTTACTGAGTAAACTTTAAAGAAACAATATGTAACAATTACACTTTAAGAGTTTCAAAGTCGATCTAATAGTCCGAAAACTTTAAATATGAAGAAAGGTGTAAAAAAAAAAGTAACACTGCTGCAATGCAAAGGAGAGAGAAGTGGTGTAAGACGGCTGCTTATGTAATGTAGTCAATTCAATTCATATTTAATCAGAATTGTAATATTGCCGGTCAAAACTGGTGGAATGGTGTTCAACCTAAATATCATTAAGACACAATCCAGCGGGAGAAAAGCGACTTTAAAGCAGCTCAAAATGAAATATAAGAACAAACTGGCTTATTGAGGTGTTTCAATCATAGATGACATATTAAACAAAGTAAACTTCATTCAGTGTCTATTTGAATGTTCATTAGGTCTATAGCGTCATACCCAACTTTATGCTGGTTTCACACATGTCCTCTCGTCGTATTCTCTTTAGTTATTAATTATCCCTGATTAAATGAACATCTCCTGACGTTCTCTGTGGAGTAATGTAGCCCCTTCATCTCGATGCTCCTCGACTGAAAGACATACCATGTTTGTCAAAATAGGTTGTTTTATACCCTATAGTATAACTAACATATCAAATAAATACAACCTGGATTTGATTTTAATTTGAACGAATAGTGAGTCTCTCACAAAAACGTGCGTGACTGGACTGAATGAAATAATGAGGAAATTAAACTTGATTTCTGGCTCTGAAAAAGGGAGGAGACAGTTTAGGGTCCCGACCAGGTCAGGGTTCACAGACTTACCAAGACCAAAGTTATCTCTTTCCTTTGAGTGACCTCCCTATTTGAAATGGAAAGCCCAGAGTTTCCCACTATTCAGGGTAAACAGACTCAGTGTTTACACTAAACCTGCTTAGTGAAACAGGTCCCTGATCGGCAGTCCTTAGGTAAACACACAAACGGTACAGAATATACTACAGCAATATCTGTAATTTCGACTGAGTTAAACCGTAAATTATAGGGTTATTACATGTTTATGACTTTACAGAATTTTCTCATTAAATTGACAATTTTCTTAAATTTTTAAGGTAAAAATGTATGTTTTCAACATATTATGTCTGTAAAAATGACATTTTGTACCGTTTCTTGACGGTAATTCAATGTTTTTACCACGGTGATAAACCTTTTTAGATTTTACGGTATTCTCCTGTTGCCATTTGACAGTTTGTTACCGTATTTTTTTTGATTTTTTTTTTACAGTGTAGAATACACCTGTGTTAGCCTGAGTCTCAGTACTATTTGATACAATGGCTGAGGCTAAGAGGAAGAGGATGATGACGGATGAGGCTAAGAAGAGAAAATGAGAGTTAATGAGCAAGACAGACTGGAGAAAATATTGGACAGGCTTTCATATGTTGGCCAGAGCTTCCAGAAACAGTAGGCTGCATGTCGGGAAGCCAAGCTGGCTATATTGCTGTTGTGAGTGATATGCACATACTCCACATGCAAACAGTTTGCAAACAACGGGCTGTAGACGCTAGCACAGCTGACAGGACTTTGTGAGATGTTCTGCTTGTCATCAAATGCAGGTGGACGATGAGGGGGAGGTGTAACAGCAACATGTGTTTTACGACAGTGTAGTTGCACTCAGAAACCTTTGGGGGGCGCCAAAGTGCACAACCCAAATTCCTACAACGTGTTGCTTTAAACTAATAGCAATTTAATTTCACTTGAGTAGAGTTTTTTTTACTCATACTTAATTACATTTCAATCAAATGTACTGTTCTTTTAATTGAGTAAAATATTCTTGTACTCAATGTTGATGTATTTGCAATATTTCAATATTTCAAAACGCATTACTTTGCTATCAGAAAGCCTACCTGTTTTATCACATACAGTATATGTTCCTCTGGCTTATATTATTAAATTGTGCTCAGTGTGATGAGGACGTCACAGACTACAGCCTCAGAAGTGCATCACAGCGTCAACATGAATGAAAAGTGTTCATTAAAAAGGAAGTATTTGTGCAGAAAAGGTGCAGTAGTTTTTAAATCTTCTTATCCGTCGGTACAGGAAGCTTAAGAGGTGGAGTTTACTGGAAATGGTTTTAACGTCTTTGTCCCATCAGTTATTTGTTTACCAGCAACAAAATCTGGTTTGACTAGTTTGAACACAAGGGTGCTTACAGGTTATTATTATTTTTACATTGCATTAATGTGGTTAGCCTGTTTACTGTTGATCCTTATTAGTCACCACTAAGGCAGAAACTCCTCTTCCCCGTCTCCAAGTTTAAATGTGACATTTAAATCTACAAAAAAATGTATATCAATGTGTCGAATGTATATCAGTACAGCAAAAATGCTGATGATAATGAAAATAATGATTATAATACAAATCTTATAAAGTGCTTCATTTTACTTTGTTACCATCACCTGCCCAGGGACAAAATATGGAAATTAGCTAGTTAGCTAAATCTGGTACAAAGCATCTCTTTTCTTCTGAGACTAATTTTTTTTTGTACACTGTCCCTGATTCAAATAAATGATTAAATTAAACTAAACTAAACTAATTATTAATTCAATTAAACATTAGTGTTAGAACACCATGGTCAAGTGCATTTCGCATAATTTGTGACCTTTAAAATTCCAGTGATTCTGGTTAAATGGAGACTAAACCGTTAAATAAAAAGATGATCATATGTATTGTGTAGGAAACGCAGAGGGGCTGGTGTTCTTAAAATGATTTTTTAAAAACACTTTTACTTGTAAATGTCTTTATGTCTGGATACAGTATGTTGACCTTCATTTGTATTTAAAGGAAGAAGAGGAACATAATGTGATGTGTTAAAGAATAATAATATTAAAGGATTGTTGAAATGTACAACATATTAAGGCTTTTACACAAGTTAAATAATTCAGCTGCAGTCACATTTGTCTCCAACTCTTCTGTTTGATTTACTCACCGAGGTCGTTTTCCATTTTTCTGATCCTTTTTTGTTTGTCTCAGCGACTTGTTACCAACAGAAAACACCAGAAGATCATGGAGAGTTCAGTTGTTTAAGTCCATCCTCAGGTAATGCAATGTAAAGAAAAGCAGGTATTCAGAGAGTTGTGCAGTCTGACTGCAGCCTCTCAGGTGAACAATGACACCAAACATGAATCTGTCGACGGATCAAAACAGGCCCCACTGGTTTTATGTTCTTTATGCAGCAGCGTCGGCTTCCAGGTAAGAAGGTGATGCAACCTCAGTTTGTGTTTGCAACAGAGATAAAGTTCAGGTGTCCGTGCCATTTTTTAAGAGCAGGTTTTCTTTTTTCAGGGACCGAAGTCTGGGTCTCTAATGTTTTATTTTGCAGAGGGAACCAGGTTGTGGTCTGTTGGTCTTGTTGGGTTGAGGCACCACCTGACATGTCTCTGTGTAAGAGCCATTTCTTTTACAAACTGAGACCAAACAATTCTCCTCAAACTCACACAACTTTGAGCAGATTAACGATGTCTGGGTCCGTGATTTAGACTGTAGAGGGTTATCCAGTTCTACTTTTTTGATTTTCTCAGGGTCCTCTCGAGACAAGTCCTCAGAAATAAACAAATGTGCTTTTGATACACACATAATTCAAACATTTTCTTGCTTGTCAGTCCCTGGGAGAGGCTATATAAGGGTGACGTAATCAAGCGCTCGCCCTCTCTTACCTGTGTGTAGAACAAGGAAGTGCAGCGTGAGGCAAACTGATTACAAACAATTGCTGGCGATCGCGGATTACAACAAGTAGCAGGACGACTGGACGCTGTAGTGACGCATTGTTTTAATGTATGGCTCGTCACAACATTAAAAGCACACTGCTGGTCCGGGTGCTAAGTTGATGAATTAAAGGACTTGGAATTACCTCTAAACTGTCTCTGTTTTTCCCCACATACTGTATTTACTTTGCTTTATTTTCAGAAGTAGTTTCAAATTAAATACTTCGATGGACCGCGTGCAATAGACTTTTTATGGGCGAATTCATGAATTCATGAATTCATAGTAAAATATATGGGAGTGGGGGGAAGGGGCGAGGGGGTAGTAGCTCTGAAAGCCTTGATCCCTTTTGCTGTGTTCATTAGTTTGTAGTGTTATGCATGAATTATTTTCTGCGTGAGCAGGTGAAGTTAGTGATTTGTAGGGAGTGTTGTTAAATGTATCAGTTGGAACTTGAGTGTGATAAGGAGCAGCTATTTTTCCCAGCTGCGTATATTTCTGCGTATATTTCTAAAGCTACTGTGTCGCCTGTATGTGGTCATTCATTTGAACTTCTTTAATGCTGTGTTACATTCTTAAATAAATACTATGTTGTTAAAACAACCATCCTCTCGTCTACTTAATTTAGACATCAACCGGTTCTTTTTGGTAAAACATCTGGTGTAGATGTAGCTACTTTAAGTCCTATAGATGGTAAAAGTGCTACACAAGGGAGGAGCCTGAGGTGGTCATAGCCATCCAATTGGCCCCCCCATTGGGCCACCCCTAAACACTGACTTATAATTGTCTATTTTACTTTAATTTAGTTTATTCAAACTGTGCAATCTGAATCAAAAGCTGTCAAAAAGCTGTCCAATAACACAGTGTGCAATATTAATTTCGTAATATCTTACAGTTTAATACTGCGCTGTTGTATGCATTGTTTATTTTCTTTAACTCACTTCATGCACCTATGCTGAATAAATGGAAGGGACTCATGTTGGACTAAAACAATTTAAAGAGAGGCATGAAGTCAGAATCAAAAGTGTGTAAAAATAAAGCTTAAGAGATGCAACATTGGCAAACAGAAAGATCTTTAAAAAACAGCAAACCTTTGAAATACATTGAAATACACCCAATAGTCAAAGATGACTCGTCAGGATGACACTTTTTGAAATGTCAACACCATGAACACTCTGTCTGAGTTTGTGTTCGAGTTTGTGGATCCACTGAACTATCTAATAGGGATTAGAGGGATCCTTCAGGTGTCAGGGTACACGTTTCTATCCAGCAGGTTGGACATCTCCATCCAGGACAGGTCCCACTGCACCTCTGACACTTCCTGTTTGGTGACAGGAAGCTCCACAGCTTGAAGCTCCTCTTTAGAAACCGGACAGCAGCTACAGGTGCAAACCGTGTGATACCTGCACACACAAACAAGAATCAGAGAAGAGTTATTTGAATTTTTATTTATTTATTTATGAACATTGCTTCATGTAAAATACAAAGGTAGTCCGTTTGACTTTTTCTAATGATTACTGTGACAAACCGGTACCGACGGACGAGCCAAACAGAAAGAGGAATCAGCAACAGAAGGAAAAGTATGCATAAAACAACGATCCATATCCAGGAGCCTGAAACATCAAGAGTACAAGTTTAAGCAGGAGAAAACCAAGAGAGCGACAGATGACAATACATCAACATACAGACTCGTTTTTTATTTACAGCTGTCATGAAGAAAATTTTAATATTAAAATACAGAATACAGTAAGACATAGTTAAGGAATTAATGCAATCAAGTCATTTGGTGCTTTATAACCCATGAGAGCCATGAGAACAATGTTTTATTTATTCATTAGTATAATCACACAGTATTCCCTGAAAAGATTTTCTCACCAGTGGAAGTTGCTGTCCCGTCTGTTGTTGTAGAGTTTCCTTAAAGACAAGAGACACTTTTATTTTACTGTTACACTCCGGCTTAAATAACACAAATCAGAAAGACGTTTAATATAACCAAACTGTGTGATTGTGTAGAGCTGACCTCGCTCAGGTCTCACTGATAACCAGCTCTCTGGACTCTCCGTCTGTCTGTCCGGGAATGCACACTTATAGAAGCCTTCGTCCTCCTGAGTCACATTCTCAATAATCATCTTTATCTCTCTGCCTGAGATGGAAGACATCGTGGAAGTGAGGATTTCTGCTCCGTTTTTAAAGAAGATAGTTGTTCCGTTGGTTCCTGTCCAGTACTGACAAACCAACGAGACTGCATCGTCTTCAGAAACAGGAGAGGCCGGAGTCCTGAGGATGATGGAGCCATCTGTAAAGCACATGTTCATTATAATCCTTTATTATTCATCTGTTTATAAGACAGACTCTATACAGACTAACTACATCCCATCAACCTCAACATCTAACATCCCTCCAGGAAGTCACCATGTTGTGATTCAGCTAACTCACATGATTCAAACTGATCCCCTCATGTTTTTCTAGCTCACATTTTGGCCAATTTTTTTCAAACTTTTTTGACAATTTGTCTAATTATGCTTTTTTTTCCAACAGGCACTAATATGTACGTCCCCAAATGTACTTCTGTACCCAAAGCTTTGTTTGCAACAGCAAAGACAGGAAATTCTGTTTGGATTACAAATTGGATTGCCTTTAACCCTTAAGATGCCAGCACAAACCCCAAAAATGGCTAAATCTTAATTGTGGGAATTGAGTTTATTTAAAGATTGTCTTATGCTGTATTAAGATAAGATAAGATAAGATAATTCTTTATTTATCCCACAATGGGGAAATTTACAATTATTTTACATTATTATATTACATTACATATTACATATTTACATTATTGCTTTGCCAAACCTCCCAGATGCACTTTATTATTTGTTATTATTATGTAGTAGTAGTTGTGTTCCATTATATGTTGAAGTGTGGGTCCTCCTATAGTAAAACAGTGTCAGTCTGAGATCTGGCCTTTTTCTTGAAACAATAATTCTCCAAATTCTATTCCCTTCACCCTTCTTCACCCTTCCTACACTTTAAATAATTAGTTTTGCTTATTAATCTAATTATTTTTACAGAGCAAAACTAATTTAATTATTTACATCCATAACATTAATGGTTTTATGAGGCAACAACTTTTGATTTTAATGATGGTTAACATTCCTGCACTCTGCACATTTAGACCCTCAGTCTGTGATTAAAGACATGCTGCACATAAACACATTTCATCATCTTGAAGTAACTCACAGCTCACTGCGATGCTGACTGCGTTGCTGCGGCCCTCCTCAGCTCCTTCACACCAGTAAAGTCCACTGGTCTCTCTCGCAGCATTGAACACACACGTGTCAGGCTGGTCTGCACTGCCAGCTCCCCCTAGTGGTGAACACCAGTCAGTGTAGACGCGTCTGCTCCTCACTGTAGGTCCTGGGGGGAATCGCCTCAGAGTCCAGCCAGAGGAGCTAGACAGAGAGCCGGGGCACTGCAGGGAGAAAGTCTCCCCTCTGAAGAGGTGTCTGCTGCTGGGGGTCAGAGTCAGAGAGGGAGGGGGCGTGTCTGGAGAGAGAGAGAGAGGGGGGGGGGGGGGCAGAACAATAAAAACACATTGTTCTCTAGCTGTCGGCAGCAACATAGAACTTAACATTGTGTTCAAAGTCAACAGTGACATCCCAAGCAGATAAATATTGCAGTCAGTAAAGGTCACTTCTAGGCATCAACACCTCTCCTGTGATGTCATCCTGTCCTGATGTTGTTTTCAGATGTAGCCTCCGTTGCTCACCTGACACTCTGACATCAACCGGTTGACTGAGGAGCACCACAGAGCTGATGTTCCTCTCCCTCTGCTCCACTCCGCACTGGTAGCTGCCCTCGTCCTCCCTCGTTACCGCGGTGATGGAGTAGCTGTCACCTGAGACCAGGTGTCTGGGGTTCGGGGTCGGAGTCGGGTGTCGGAACCATCGGAAGCTCCATGCAAAGCTGGAGTTTGAGTCCACGGTGCAACGCAGCAGCACGCTCTCATGGAGGTAGATGTTGGACCCCGGGGGCCACGCTGACACGCTGACCTTCACAGAGTCTGCAAGGAGACGAGGACCACATCATGGGTCTCTTTGTTTTTACAGCTGGGATTAGAAAATAAATACTCTTAGACTAAAATGTTGAAGCGTAATTCTTCACAACTTGCTGAGACCATTTAAATAAATGAGCCCATTAAAAAAAAAATGCTCAAATTGCACTTTGGTACATAACCATTGCCAATGACATT